TCTCGATTCTCTGGGTTAGCCTGCGGTTTTCCTCTTGCAGAGCTTGATTACTAGTCTTAAGTGACTTAATTTCTTTAATTAGTTCTTTCACATCTTTATGAATTTCAACCACTGTATCACAGCCTCGCCGCGGTGGTCTAGTGGCTAAGGTACTCTGCTGCTGACCCGCAGGTCGCGAAATCGAATCCCGGCTGCGGTGGCTGCATTTCCGATGGAGGCGGAAATGTTGTAGGCCCGTGCGCTCAGATTTGGGTGCACATTAAAGAACCCCAGGTGGTCGAAATTTCCGGAGTCCTCCACTACGGCGTCTCTTATAATCATAGGATGGTTTTGGGACGTTAAACCCCACAAATCAATCAATCAAAGCCACTGTATCACAGGTACTACTGCAGTACTCAACGCTTTTCTTTGCTCTGAATTCATCAAGATCCTCCTTTCTGAAGCTTATCAGGTCTTATCGTGAAGTGTCGTGGTCCTCTATATCCTCACGTTTTCCTTTCGCGGGAGGCAGTTTCAAACAAAATAACCGAAAGTGGGATCGAAAAAGAAAACAAGTAACTCGCACACATACATGGAGAAAGATCAGTCTCTGGTCTACAATAGCTGTGTTCGGCAGCAGTGCAAGATACAAGAAAAAAAAAACAAAAAAAAACTGGTGGGTAACCAGGTACAAAAAGGTTTAGCTTACCTGCAAAGAGCAAGAAAAATCAATGCTTGTGTCCTCGTCGCACCGCTGCCTAACTAAACGTTTCTGGTAGTTGCAGGGTGTTTTTTAAAGTTGATCTAGGGGAATGGATGCAGTTGCATGCGCAGTAAGTAGGAAGGCGGCAGGTCCAGCTGATAGCAGTCGGCGACGTCAATTTCGAGCTTGGTAGATTGGAAAAACGCCCCTTGCCAGGGCAGTCTTATCCAGCGCAGAAAACAAGCTTGCGATGCACCTTCCAGCCACCGCACTGCCAAGCTGCAAAGAGCAGGAAAGATCAATGCTTGTGCCCGCGTCGCACCGCTGCCGAACTCCAAATAAACTAAACAGTCTAAAAAGTGCTACCAACACCTCCAGTGACAAAATATTCCTTTTCGTGTGGTAAGCAACACCCATTTGCTCACAAATGAAATAAACTATGTTCGCAATAAACTAGTGCCATTTTACTGAAGCGTGGTACAGCACGTTGAACCAATCATCTCTGGCTAGTTGTGTGTATCATGTCACTTGCTCGGCTCTCGCTGTCGTATGCCAGGCCATTTGCAGTTCAGTGTATGCATGTGTTTCTACATTCATGCTTGCTTCACTCCGGATCGTGCTCAAGTGCAGTAAGTAGCCTGTTCGTTTAACACAACGAAGGCACATTCTGCAAGCAACAAGAGCAAGCAGCCTTGCATGACGCGGTGGCAGCAAACTTGCGAAAAGCTGCATGACACGCTTGTATCGCCGTCACTCTATACATGCGCAGTCAAGCAGATACCTGAAAATGACTGTGATAAGGTTGTCAGCGATGAGTTAAAATGGCACATTCATTGCCACAGGCCACCTCGCCTTCGCTCTTTTGATGATTATTCATATAGGTATGTTGCCACCTTTTTGGGAATCTTTTTAAATTTTGATCGTAAAGTGATTTTGTCTTCGTTTTAAACAGGGCTGTTTAAAAACACACCAAGTATGTTAGGCAAAAAAGTACAAATAATCACAATTTGTTTACAAAAATTACCCAAAATATGCCCACCACGCAAAAAGTGATAAGTAGTACTGATGCTGTGACGTACCTGCCAAATCTTCTGGATTGTTTGGAAGACTGTGTCCATTGGGTAAAAATTCGGATGTTCCGCACACTTTTCCTCATCGCGGCAGGTCCTATGAACCAAAGCCATCGAATGAAGGCCGATAACAGCGTACTCGAAGCATCTGAAGGATGTGTGCAGCCAGTGCATGCACTGTCAGAACTGTGGTTGTCGTTTGCCACAACCGCAGTAGACGAAGCCGCTGTCACTCTTGACACGATCATTTATAACAATGACCTAACTGACATAACTTTGAAAGTGCACACGCGTCCCACCTCGACCAGTCAAAGGGATGTTGCTTTCCACAAACGCTTCGTATAAAACCGTGGCAGATTCGATCAAAATAGCCAAAAACGACTTCGTTTTCAAGGCACGATCACAGCCAGCGCACGCGGATGGAAAATGTATCTATCATTTCCCGCAACCACTGTGGTCACAGTGATGAGATTATACATAGCGACTACTAGCCAAGGGCTCGCGGCTAATGCAGCAGTAAATTAAAGATAATAAGGACGTAAAAAGGCTAAAAGCATTTTGGCGTTCCTGTCCAAAGAATCTAGCTACGTTCCTGTCAGTCTGTGTACTATGGCTGTGCTTCAGCATTCAGTTTTCTGTTGGCCTCAAGCAAAGCCTTGAGCTGCGCTTTCCCGGCAGCCAGCTGTGTCATCCCGTCCATTCTCGTGTTTCCCAGGAAGACATATGCGAGTTCTTTTGACAGAAATAACTTTGCTAGTTGTTTTGGTGGCTCGATATTTCGGGAGATTCGAATATTTGCGCACCCCCTGTGAGGCTCTCATCTTCTACTGTAGTTGGAAAACTTTACCCTCATGTGTTTGCGGCCACTCCAAGCTATTATAAGACTGCAACCCTTGTGTTTACGGACCCCTTCCCCCGCTGCAGAAATCTCCTAGATTGAAATGCTTGAACTTGGCAGGTATGCTATTGCACAAAGAAAAATGGCTTGGCAGCAATATAGCTGTACAGTAACGCTGTGCAATAAACTAGATTTTTTGGGCTGTTATCATTAGTTAATGTACTATGGCCAAAAATTAAAAAAACAACGCAGTTTCAGATGGTTGCAATACAGTCCAAACTTTAGAGCATAAAAGTTGTCAGCAGTTCTCAATTATCCTAGTTCATTGCGTAGATTAATGTTTCATAAAGAAGCATGTTAATTTTTTTTTGGCATTGAGAGCACAGCATGAATACAATCAAACCTACTTATAACGATCCCAGACATAACAATCTATCAGTTGTAACGACCACATTTTGGTGCACTTACGATATTCCTATGCAACCCTTTGAAACTGTGTGCACATACAGCGAATATTTTTAAAGCCTCTACTTTTACAATGAACATGAACACTTCTGACATGGCCGCGGTAAAAGTATGGTGCATATGAAGTGAAAAAGAAAGTTAAAAAGAATTCGGCCAATCCCACATACCTGGGAATCAACGTTATGCGAAGCACGTGGAGGGAAGATGACGTGTTGCAATTTTCTATTCAGAGACACGCCATAAAATGACGCTAATTTATGTACAAATGTTGCATGCACAGACATATGTTGAAGAGTTGCAGATGTTTATATAACCAGTTGTTTGCACTTGCACAACGATAACTGTAGCATGCGTATTAGCAATGCCAAACGCTGATATAAAGTGCTGATGCTGGCGAGGATGTTGGCCCTGTGCACTGATACATATATCAACTTCAGCGCATGGCAACTAACCACATTTGACGTTGACCCGACGTGACGGCTATTTCAAAGGATTACCTATGTGATGTTCATAAAATTGGGTTGGCAGCACTGCAGCTACTATTGATGTTTCACGAAGATTAGCGTCTATTTGAAAAATAGTTCCGAGACATGGCGCAGCTCTGTGGTAAGATGCTTCGCTGCCACTCATAATGCTTGGGTTTGATTTCAGCTGGGACTCTGACATTTATTCTTTGCATTCGTCGGGTCGGCGCTACCGATGTGGAGTATTTCCTAACGCTCACGCGTTAAAATTGCCCATGCGTGTTCTCGTCGTTCCTGGGTAGATACTAAGTGTCAATCACCTGTGGCACATACCCGCCTAGCAGCAGCACATACCCACATGCGCGTCATGTTCGTCAAACCATCTTACCCTCCCATGCTAATTTACTTTTAAGGGGGTGCCCACGGAGCACCCAAACGTAAGCGATTGGACCGACCGACCGACCGACCGACCGACCGACCGACCGGCCGGCCGGCCGGGTTTTTACAGTAACTGTGGACCTCCCTGAAACCGAAACTGATATTTTATGAAAACAAAACCTATATTTTCATTAGTAAAACAAACTTAAGTTTACGTTCAAGTTCGCGGGAGTCATTAGGTTAGTTAGTTAGTAGGGAAATGTGCTAAAGCCTAATAAGATTGAGCTATGGTAATCACGGCCAATTTTTATTCCAAATTGTGCTAATTGCAATGTGGGGGCACAGAAAGTCACACTGTGTTTACACTGCACCGATGTGTTGTAATCACGTTAAAGATCCCATTGTCTACTCCCACACTATTCAGCGACATCAAAACATTCTAAAGCCTAAAGAAGCAAACAAGAAATAGGTACCTTCAACAATGACAGCTAGTGTCATAATGCGTAGGCGATAAAAAAAGTTGGCCGCTAATATCCAGTAAGATTCATTAAAAGGTTTGTCACATCAAGATTTGACTCCAATCTTGATGGGCTTATTTTGCGAGCACTATAAACAAGTCTAAAACCAATTAACTCATAGACGCCATTTTTTATTTAAATAATGAAGGCTATGCTTTTGTTCACTGTATTTGAAAGTATGTTATGCATGTTGCTGCACCACTCTTGTGGCTAATCTTGTGGTCAATCCCGGCTAAGCTGCATTAAATGTCAACATGGCATTTTCACGATAGCTCAGCCATCTCCGAGCTCACTTTGCGATGCATCATAGATCCCGCTGTGGCAGCGTAACAGCAGGGTTTCCTATACATTGGATCTTATGGGGGCTATTGTGGGTCTGGTGAGAACGACACAACAGCCAAGGAAAGGCAGCAGTGAAGAACGCAACTGCAGGGTTCTACTGTATTAGTATTTTACTAAACTTGTCGTTGGTTGTGGTCTTTTTTTTGTTAAGTGTTGTCACTCTTCTCATGTATGCTATAGTGTGGCGACACATTCTTTTAATGAAATCCAATATTTTTTTATACTCTGCTCCTTATTCTTCAGGTACATTGAATCCACCAAACCGATCCAGCCCGACACCTAACCAAAGCCCTGCTCCACCTTCATCGCTTTCAACCCAAAGCTATGCGCAGCATTCAGCACATGGACAACAGGGTAAGCACTTCTTTTATGTGCTTACAGCATGACCAATGTGCCACTAGGGGCTCTGTATGACCTTTCATGCTTAGTGAAAAAAAGTGGTAAGCAAATGCAACTGTCAACAGTTCAGCCAAATCTTAAAGCTGTGCACGACAAAGAGAGTTTACAACCGTAGCGCGAAGTAACCACTTTCTTAAGCACCCTCTTTTCATACAGAGGCCAGTCCTCACTTCAAGCTGCTTACAACTGTTGTATGGCATCGTACAGCATATTGATGGTGTTTGCCTATAGCTGACATAAACCGTGTACAGTGTTTGGACCATATGTGCTTTTAGCTATAAAGTGCCATCGCGTGCTGGTCGCATTCTCTATAATGTGCTATAGTGATACTTTAGCAACACGAGTGGGTACTGGAATATCTAGGGGACATAGTGATACTACAATGAAACAATGAGTTGGTTTAGATTGATCAGTTCTACTGGGAACATTAACGTTGTTAATTTTTCCATCACAAATTCATTATAAGAAAAAAGAATCAAGGTCAAAGAACCACTTCTAATTTCGTGCCGAATTATGCACGAGTGACATCAAGAATTTCAAGGTGTATTTGTCATGTTTTGCTGACAGTGGCTCGACGATATTTCCCAAAGCTTTCCCCATGTTGAGTCTATAGGGAACCAGCGCTGGTGTTTCCACGACTATCCTGGCGGTGAGACCACACACTTATCGGCTGCGCCCGCAGACGAGATTGGCGGCTGCTAGAGGCGGTGTGTGCACACATCACCGCAATAAAATCAAAGAGCGCTGGTGGTACTGCTGTGATTCAAGTGCAACAATATATAAAAAGAGTGAGGTAGTAGAAAGAGGAGGCGGCGTTGCAACCAAGCAGTCAGGCGAGCAAAATTTTGCTTTCGCTCTCCTGTGTAGTGCTGTCGGGCTCATTTCTAAACCGAATATGCGTGTCTGCTATATTTATTTGATAGAGAAGACAGCCACCATGGGAAACCAGGTCCAAATAGTCGAGTTTAACCAGCGTTTTGCCCGAAATAAAAGGAGCGTATTATGCAACATACTACATGTGTAAACTTCTTTTTTTATCTGGCCCGCTGAGCGTTGAGTTGTGCACTTCAGGACTAACAAAGTTTCCATGCATCCATCCATCTGACCACCACCATCAAACTCCATTTTATGCCACCGCATGAAGTGAATGATACGATAGGCAGGTTTCGATTTTTACTTTTTGTTTAGTTCAACACACAATTTCAGTTTTTCTGCTTGTCTGTGTCGGCCTAAAATGAAGCTGTCTGTTCAACATCCCTAATAGCTACGCTTTCATGTACCAAACAAGATATTATTTCGAGGTACACTGTAGTGGGCATATCAAGATTGTAACCGCTTGGTGTTCTCCAATGCGCACATATATATTTGTTCACGGGTGTTCTTTTTATATTTCACCTTCATCGAAGGCGGCCGCCGTGTTCGCTAATCTATCCCACGCCCTCAAGAATTGCAGCGCAACACTACTCGTGTTATGCTGCCATGGTGGTTTGCTTCATCAACGTCCCCGTGCTTACATACCACGAACAGGGCGTACAAATGATGCCAGAAAAAAAATTTACGCAGCTACCACTTACTCTGCTTTTGTACTTGTTTTGTTTTACTGTAGATGTTGGCAGCATGCTATCGTCGCAGCACGGACTTATGGAGGGGGCATGTCAGCCAGCACTAGCATTAGCCCAAAACCCTACAGCAACCTATAAATGAGGACGAGGGAGCTGTCATCAGGGCACAGCACTGTCTCTTCGATACTATATGCATAGATGCCGTCCGCTTTGCAGGGCTTCTCTCCGTTTTTTAGTGTTTTTTTTGTGAGAGTAGCCTTTGGACAAGTTATTTTTTGAAACCACAGTGCAGTATTACTAGTGCAATGGCTTTTCGAACTGTGTTCCAAAATGGAGCACGGCAGCGGCGCATGCACATGCTCTCTGATTAGTACACTGCGGCCGGTCGTCTGGGCACGAGCAGCTGAGTTGTGTCACGACTCTCCACCAGGTGCTCTTTTTTGGCGCGCCACCTATCCAGCGCTGGTCTCCCATAGGCCCATCAGCAGGCATTGTGCTTCATTTTACCCATTAGGACTAGTACACACTGTCAAAAATTTGACTGCATGGCATTTGGTGCAGAAATTTCCTAGGGGGCGTCACCACCTGCATTCTGTTTTCGCGTATTTTCACTTACCAAGCATCCTCTCGCGGGGAGTGCAATGATTTTGGAACTCTGACAGGGTAATTTACTAATTACAGAAAAATCATTTTTCTCTTTAGTGTCTTTTTGATGATGCATGTTTCATAATTCATGTTCCTTTGTCATGCTTCACCATGTACCTGTGAGCATCCACATTGACACAAAAGAAACGAAAACACTGAAGGTGGGGAGAAACTTCATTCAGCCGAAAATTTTAATTTTGAGATTATGCAACCTGATAGAAAATTGGTTTATCTTTCAGAAAATTTATCACACCGGGATACTGGTGGTTTTGAAAATTAATATTGGTCCTTTATCTTCAACACATTGATAGAAAATGGCAGTGTACCTTTTTGTGATTTCTGAATTTTTATCAAAACATTTTCGGAGGTTTGTGTACCTTTATCGTGGAACTGCAGGGCATAAGCAAGCAAAAATTCTCACGTGTTACATAACTGGAAGTATGACCAGTAGCCTAGGTGCATTTAATTTTTTCATTATAAAAAAAACATTTATGAGTGGCATTTGTCATGTGGCAACAAATGTAAAGAAAACATCACAGATCTAGTGTTACCTGTAAGCTCATAGTTGTAGTTCCATGTCTCTAAAGTGTTCATTGCTATTGTAGAATTTCCATTACAGTTGAACCCCTTTGTAAGAGACCCTGATATAAGACGAATGGGTATAAAAGACATCAGTGTGCATACAGTAAAACACTGGTTGATAAGAAAATGTGTCACGAACTTACCTTAGGAACGCTTGCATCGGATGGAATTGAGAGAGAAATGCGAGAAAGACGGGCTTATGGCAAAACAATCACACTTTATCACACCAAACAAAACAGCAAACAGTATTTTGACACTTAGAATCCACTCTCGAAAACGAAATAAATATGTACACAATAACCGGCTATTGGGCACGAGGGGCCCCCCCTGTATTTTTCTCTATGGTATATACCGCACGAAATAAGTCGACCACATCTGCCTGTCCCCCCCCCCCATCAATTCAATCAAGGTGGAGCTCCCTTCGAAAAAAGTTTCTGCCTATGCCCCTGCCATCCGTAACTTCAGCTCACATGGTTTCTTGCTTATACATCTATAGAATGGGCCCACAGCCACTGGCACTTCTCAATGTTGTTTTGATGATTGATTGATTATTTGTGGGGTTTAACGTCCCAAAACCACTATTTGATTATGAGAGACGCCGTATTGGAGGGCTCCGGAAATTTTGACCACCTGGGGATCTTTAACGTGCTCCCAAATTTGAGTACACGGGCCTACAACATTTCCGCCTCCAAATGTTGTTTTGATGTACAGGCGGAAACGCGGCCAGCCTCGAATACGGATTCACCTTCTAATAGCTACCGTGAAGTGTCACACAGCTTTTGAATGAAGCCGAAAAAAGATGGACACTGGCATTTTTATTAAAACATGAAATCACCGCTTAGATCACGTTACATAAGACGTACTTCGCGGCATGCCCATTCAAGGGTGCAAAATGACACGTCTGGCGCGCAGTGCATTTGCTATGGTAATCTGGCCCGGTTGGGATTGCATTATTTATCATGATATACCTCTTTGGAAAAGTAGAACTGAGCCACTAATTCATAATTTCCATCCATGTGTGTCTCAATGGCGATCTAATGAGCACCATGGGACAACGGTACAAAATTTCCGCAATAAATATTAGGATCTTGCCGCAGAGAAACTTTTCCTCGTGTGAAATTTCACCTAATTAAAACTATGAATCTGGCTTTTGCATGTGTGTGACTCGCATTTTCTCACAATCATAACAGAAAGGTGAAGGAAGGGGGTTCGTCCTATGTAAGGCTGACACAGAAGCCTAGCTAATAGTCCAGCCGCACACAGTCGTACCGTGCACAATTAACATCCCTTTTCCGTAGCTCAAGTCATCGCAGCTACATGGGTTCGGGCGAATAAGCCATCATGCTAGGCCAACAAACAACACTGTATTGCTATATTAGCAATAACGCGTAAATGTCGCGTAGAAGGACTTCCGCTCTAGGCAGATAACGAAGGGTAGACGTTTGCACCTCAGTCGTTGACATCCTTGGCTCATAGGGAGTTCCGAGGGTCGTCCTTCCTGCTGGGTCGCCGGTGCCAAAGAGAACGTCCGGCTGTCAGCACGCTTGTTTTCTCCACTGCCCCGGTTTCCCTCTCTCTGATGAGAGTTCATTTCTTCGCTGAGAGAAGAGAAACCTGTTCCGTGAGCTAGAAAAGGTGGATCGCATGCCCCGGCCAGGGGTGCCCCGTCCCTTCGAAAGAGGCATCATTGACTCGTTTCTCAAAGGAACAAACATGTCCTCGTAACTAGTCTGTTGTGCTGTCGTAAAAGGGAAAGGGTGGCTGGGTGCTCGTGCTTCCCCACATGCTTCTCCTCCTTAAGAAGGCCCCCGAACGACAGAGACTAAAACATGAAAATAATTTGTTATTCATCATCGATAAAGGCTAGGACGGTGGGTCCCAATCAGCGCCTTCCTGCGGCTGGCCCTCTGCCTTGAGTGTCGCCGGTGCCCCCACTCGTCGCCACTGCATCCAAAGTAGCCACCACTGCTGCCATGCCCACTTGCATCTTGACCAGTCATTGCCATCGTTGTCACCTCCACTGCTGTTACTGCCGCTGTGGATCCGGCGCCGGTAGCACTCTGGTCTAAACCGCGCCCTGTTGACCCCCACCATTCAGGTCGTTGGTGGCGACTGAGGGTGGCCATTTGATGACGGGTCTCATTCAGCACTGGTCTCAGCACCAGG